ATATATATATATATATATATATATATATAATTTGTATATAAATATAATTTGTATTTATTTTCACATACTATATAATATATATATAATTTGTATATATATATATATATATATATATATATATATATATATATATAATTTGTATATATTTTCATGTATAATTTAGAAAACCATACACTATACAGACCAGAGATATAACGAGGTTATTTTTTATTTTTTACCAATAATTTTAAACATTTAAAATCTATATTAATTGATTGAAAAATAATAATAATATAAATTAAGAAAAGAAATTATAATACCAAGGACATACACACACACACACACACACAAACTGCCACAATTAAAAACATACATCCACGCATAGAAACCAGGAATATACAAAACATACGTGTTTATTTCTATACATACATACAAACAACCAAATACAAACACACACACACAAACAAACAAACAAACAGATACAAAAATTGTCCTTTAGACAATGCAAAAATAAATGAATTATTTATATAATTTCAACTAAAGAACAAAGAAAATTAACAGAACCGACAATGAACAAAAAATAATTAAATAAAGGGAAACAAAACAGAATAAATTTTCTTTGTCCAGCATAACAATGGTCAAATTTTAAATTTTATCATCATTTATAATCGTCCAGTTTACAAATAATGACAATAAAGTAATGTCATCAAATTATGATGACCCTGTCCCTCTTCTTCTGGTTCTCTCTCTTTCTCTCTCACTTTCTCCGTCCATCTCTCTCTCTCTTTTCTCTTCATTCCTCTTTCAATTATCCACAGTCATTGGTTCACTCTGATTGGCGGAGACATTTGGGTCCTTACCCTGATTGGACAGATCCTGGTTGGTGGAAATTTAAATATGCTAAAAAAGTAATTTTATAGCATTTAACTGTACTGCCACATGCTTATACATATTTATATATACATTGATATATACATAAGTATTTATGATACTATGATGATAGCTTATACGCCAAGAAACATTTTAAAGTCGTTTAAAAATTTACAATTTGGTTACTCAACAATATGAAACAATATGAAACCTGGGGGTTGATGATGGGGATGGCAGCTTTAGTTCTAGACGGTTGCTGCGGCTGTTGAGGCTGCTGCTGCTGAGACTGCTGCTGTAGATGCGGCTGTTGATGATGCACGTGTTGATGGTGTTGTTGCTGCTGCAAGTGATGCTGCTGCTGCTGCTGCATCTGCTGTCCGTCGTAATATTGCGCCCTTGAAACGGCTGCGACTCCTCGAGATGTGACGTCAACCGGGGGTTGGTAATAAATCCCCCCTGCCACTTCTTCACCCGTCCCCACCGCACCGACTACAGAGACTGGAGGCAGGTGATGATGGTGTGAGTGAATATGGGGTGAGTACGGGGTGCTCTGTTGTGGGTAGGGTGAAATATTTTGAGGGAACGTTTGGTAGGATCCATAGTAAGCAGCCGGTATGTATGGCTGAGTTATTTTGACCAATGATGACTGAGGTATGTAGGTGGTCATCTGTGGTTGGTTGTAGATGTAGGCCGTCTGATATTGTTCTGTGTCATAGTACTGCTGCTGTTGTTGCTGTTGCTGCTGTGACGGTGTGTGGATGTGTTGTTGGTAGTTTGCGTATATGGCTTGCTGTTGTGGTTGCTGTTGTTGTGGTGGTGGCATTTGCTGTGCTTGAGATTGCTGCTGCTGTTGTAACTGCTGTGGTTGCTGTTGGAGATGTTGTTGAGGTTGTTGCTGCTGCTGTGGTGGCTGCAGTTGCCTCGTTGACGAGTACCTTGAAAATTTTAACATTATCAGAGATCAGAAATGAAGTTATAATTAATAATTCGGCAAACAAAAAATAAAAAAATGTATCTAAATTATCACTATAATTATGAATAATATAACTGTAAGTAAATACAACCACGCATATTATCACCTTTTTGGTTTACTTAAATGAGCCTCCTCGTAACCTTTTTGTTGTTGTAGTTGTTCAACATTCTGTTGTTTGTTTTGCTTCTCCTCAACATGTTGCTGCTGTTGTTGCTGTTGTTGTTGCTGTTGTTTCCAACTTGGCGTGAACTCACTACCAGCCCAACCTTTCTTAGAGCAGTTGGTGGCATCATCATGTGTGTTGTATTGATGCTGTTGTTGTAGGTGATGATGCTGTGAATGTTGTAGATGTTGTTGCATCTGTTGTTGTTGTTGTGTCTGTTTGTTGTTGGTGTTGTTGTTTCTGAGTTGTTGGCGGTGTCGTTGATCCAGGGGTGGTGATAGTAGTCATAATCACACTAGCATTTGGTGATGATAATTTGGGGTCAGAAAGTTGTTGTTGATGTATTTTGACGTCACGTTGTTGTTGTTGCTGCTGTTGAGGGTGTTGTTGTTGTTCAACAGTTCTAAAAGCAGATGTCTTTGACGCCACAACAACATTTTGTTGAGTTTGTTGTTGCTGCTGCGATCCAACTTGTTGTGTCTGCGGTTGTTGTTGTTGAGGTTGTTGAGAAACATTTTCATCATGATCATAATTTAATTGTTGGTGTTGTTTCAAATTATATTGTGGTCTATATTGCTCTTCCTTGCTAGCCTCAACAAAATCCTGCTGCTGATAGCGATGCTGATAGTGATCATAATGTTGATGTTGTTGGCTATCATCCTGATAACGATACTGTTGTTGTGGGGTAAACCTGGGAGGTCGGTCATAGCTTTTGTTGCTGTTGCCGCTGTTGACATATCTTTGGTTGTTGTTGTTGTTGTTGTTACTGTTGTAGTGTTGTTGATATTGTTGTCTATCTTGGTAGTCTCTAGGTTTTCTAAAGCCTCCTACATTCTCATCAAACTGTTGATGTGGTTCTTGGTGATGATGCTGTTGCGGGCGTTGTTGCTGTTGTTGTTCATAATCATTATTGTTATTTCTTCTGTAGTTATTTCTCTGCTGATGATGTTGTTGTTGGTGTTGTTGTTGGTGCTGGTCGTATTCATCATCCTCATGCCTTCTGTTGTAACTCCTTGCTTGTTGGTGTTGTTGTTGTTGTTGGTTGTAACCACCATCATCATTCTTTCTGTAGTTTCTTTGTTGTTGTTGTTGATGTCTCTGTTCATAATCACCATCAACATCCCTTCTATAATTCTTTGAATGTTGTTGTTGATGTTGGCGATCATCAGTTCGTCTGTAATTTCTAGGATGCTGTTGCTGTTGTTGTTCGTGATCATAGTTTCTTTTGGAAACTGGTTGCAGCGATTGTTGCTGCTGTAGTTGCTGCTGCTGTTGATATTTTTCATTGACAAACTCTTTATACTGCGTCTTACTATCAGCTTGTCTTTCCACTTTATCAGCACTTTCCTTATTATTATTATTATCACTAGTACGATCACTTTTAGCATCACTCCTAACTTCAATGGTCCTAACGACGGGAAAGTTAGTCACATCCACGTCGACGACCCGATCATCTTTTTCCTTCGACCCTTCTACGGTTTGGGTCTCGTTTTTAGAGATGTGCTCTTTGTGGTTTTGAATTTTTGTATTGTTGTTGAATCTGTCATCTGCATTGTATTTTCTGTTGTTGTTGTTGTTGTAGTTGTTGAATCTGTCATCTGCATTGTATCTTCTGTTGTTGCTGTTGTTGTTAGATCTGAAATTGTTGTTATTTCTGTTACTGTTGTTTTCGTTGTTGTTGCTGGTTTTGTTGACGTCATTGTTGATGTCGTCATCGTTACCTCTTGTGGTTATAATCTCCCTCCTCGTATAACCATCATTACCATGATTCCTCTCCTCATCGTTATCAGGATTCCTGGGAGGCCTACTTCTGCCATAGCTTTTTTTGGGGTAAATATTTCGGTTTACGTCATTGTTGTTGTTGTTAGTGTTGCTGCTGTTGTTGTCCTCGACGTAATCTCTATAGCTTCTATTGTAACTATTGTTGTTGTTGTTGCTACGACCGTTGTTGTTGTAATTTTTATTATAGCGATTTACATTCCTATTGTAGTCATTGTTGTATCTGTTTCTGTTGTCGTTGTTGTTGTCGCGAGATCTAATTGGTCCTCGCATACTTTTGTTGTTGTTGTTTTTGCTGTCGTCGTCGTCGTAATTTCGGACATGTTGCGGTCTTGGTTGTTGTCTAATATTTGAGAAGTGTTGTCGTTGAGAGCGTTGTTGTTGTTGTGGTTGTTGTTGTGAATCATCAGTAGACTGCTGACGTTGTTGTTCCTGTCGTTGTTGATGTTGTCGTCCATTGAATTTCCTATAAATTTGTTAAAATTATTGATTTTCAATATATCTAATTTGAATAAACTAGGATGACCTAATAGGTATTTAGCATAATTTATTCACACTAGATTAAGCATATAATAGCAAGTTAAGCAGCATTGATTCTGAAGCCAAACAAAAATAGTATTGAGAAGTTTTTCAAGTCAAAGTTAAATAAATTAATTAATTAATTAAATTAATATGAATCTAAAAGCAATAAAAATAAAATATGAAATAGGTTTGAAAAACTCAACAAAAAAGAAATACATACCCCTCTTTGTTTCTCCATTTCTCACCAGATAGACTTTTAACACCAGTACTTTCCTCTCTATTGCCATCTCTATCTCTAACCCTCTCTCTTCCCTTATCTCTCTCTCTATCTCCGTCCCTCTCCCTTCCTCTATCACCATCTCCTTCTCTGTCCTTCTCGCCGACTTCATTTCTAATATTGTATCCGTACTGTCTGATGATTTCCCTCGAAGATTTGGGGCCCTGTTGGAAGGGGTCGTAGCGATCGTGGTGCCACTTGGGCTGCATGTCCAGTCTTGATTTCTTGACAGGTTGTTGCTGTTGTTGCTTGTTACTGGAGGTGGAGGTCTTGATGTCAGATGAATCTTTCTGGCTGTTATGGGGAAGTGGGAATGTTGTTTAATAAATTGGTTCTATTTAATTAATTTTATAAAAGCAGTAGCATCTTTTGGAGTAATTTGTCGCCAGCTTCTTTTTCTATAACTGGTAATTAACAATTAGCAACTACAAAACATAAAAACTAATAAACAAATACTAGCCAGTAATTTCAGAAATTGAAATGAAACAGTTTTAATGAAAAAGAAATCTGCAGAACACAAAAGGATTCATGTTTAACATATTAAATAATCTATAATAAAAACTGATCTAATGAATTTAAATTGTAAAATGTAACAAATTAATTATTAAAATGGAAAGGAAGAAAAGAAAGGAAGGGAGAGATAGAGGAAGAGAGAGGAGAGAGAGAGAGAAGAAAAACGGAAAAAATTAATAAACCCAGCATCAGCATTATCTCCATCCCCCACGCTGCCACTTGCCCATCTTTGTTCGATGTCGCCTTCTTCGTCATCAGTCAGCCTCATATCATGTTCGAAGAATGCACCCTTGCGTGGAATGTAGGCTGGATTCTTCCTATCCTCATCATCGTCCAGTTTCTTCTCGGGTTCCTTATTATTTTTCGTTTCACTGACGTTACCCCCAGCAGCTGCTGCAGCAGCGTCGTCGACGTCTGCAACGTCAGCAGCACCGCCTTCGTCATCTTCATCTTCTTCCTCCTCCTTTCGGAATTTTAGCAAAAAAGTATATTGGCGTGTTACTAATAAAATTGTCAGTATTAAGTATATCATTACATAGGTATATCTTTTCATGTATCAGTAATCAACTGGTAATATTAATGTCTGAAATAAAATAACTATCTTATTCAATAGGATCTAAATTAATTTATTCATTTAGATCATTGTGATTGTCAGTGACGTCATTACCCCTTCATATGATCGTCACACAAAATAAATATAAGCAAAAAATAAGCAAAAACAGAAAAGTAAATAAAAAACTAAAAAAACCAAAACCACAAACCTCTCCATCTCCAGAAAGTCTTTTTGAATCAACAATCCTGGCATCGGCCCCTCCCTCGTACTCATCCCCATCATCACGATCGTTTCCTTCGTCATCCTCATCGTAATCACCAGCCTCCTCGTCATCATCACCATCGGCGGCAGCCTCCTCACCATGCTTCCTCTGCCTCCTGGATGGCCTGCCGCCGAAGTCATCATCATCTACGTAGCCGTCAACTTGAACGCCGCCGTACCCATCGTCATCGCCATCCTCTGCATCTGTATACTCATCTTCATCGTCGTCGTCGTCGACTTCACCACCATCACCAACCTGCTCGACTATGTGGCTGTATTCATTCTGGCCATCGTCTGCCTGGTTGTCATTGGCAATTGTGACGACGATGTTACTGCTGTCATCATTATTTTCCGATGTGATGTAATCTATTCTTCTTGGCTGCCTCTCTCCAACTCCATCACCATTGTTTGGTGATAGAGTTGGTGATAATCTTTGGTGATAATCTTTGGTGATAATCTTACCATCATCCTCAAGAGCAGCATCATTTTTAGCCACAACCTCATCATCTTTTCTTCCATCATCACATCCAGCATCATCATTCTCACTGACTATTACATCAGCGAGTTTATCGTCAGTAACTTCATCAACCAAAATATGATCTTCAACTACGATGTCATCATTATTATCAGCATCATCATTTTCACACCTTTTCTCATTATTAATACCATCATCATCTTTAGTACCATTGTCATTATCATAATTTATGCACTGTTTAGTAGCTACTTCTACCCCAGCGACGCCACCATCATTATCAATATTAGTGGTAGTGGTAGCAGTAATAGTAGTAGTAGTAGCAGCAGTGGTAGTAGTATTATCAACTTCACCAATATCATCATTATTGTAAGATTTATTATTACCATCAGTATCCACTTCATTATCAGTATTAATATAATTGGCTATGACAGCGTAATCACCAGCATTCTTATTATCATTATCATCATTAATTGGCTTATTATTATCATCATCAATTGCTTTGGTCATGACATCATCATCACAATCATTATCTTTTGATTTAGTCTGGATGTTGACATCACCATTCCTTCTCTTAACTCCACCATCTTTATTATCATTATCCAGATCATTATCATCACCACCAGCATTCAATTTATCATCATTACCACAAACTACTTCATCATTATCATTACAAACTTTGCCACCATCAGCTTTTACATTGACGTGATTGACTGTAAGACAGGCATCAGCATCATCAATATTGGCTTTATTTTCTTTGTTGTAATCATCATGAGTGATGATATTATTACTGACAACCACATCACCAGCTTCATCATCATTGTTAATCATGTGAGTATCCTGCCTAATAATCTCATCAACACCATCGCCTACACTATCATTATTATTATTGCTAGCAGTAGTAGTAGCAGTAATGGAAACATTAGTAGTAGCTATGGGAGAACCATCAGGATTGTTGTTGTTGTTATTAGTGTCATCATTGTTCAAATTGTTGTCAGCAACAACATCAACGACATCACTAATAATTTCTCCAACAATTTTGTTGCAGTTGAGATCCTTCATATTTTCACCATTATCAACATCATTGTTGATGATTCCAGATATGACGTAGAGTTCAGTAGCATTCGGTTTTGTGAATCTATCTATAGATGACCCTTCCAAGTCAACAATGCTATCAGAAATAAGTACATCATTGCTGGACCCCTCACCGAATTTACTAACCATAGTCGATAGTAGGTCATTTACTATTGCGGCACCTTCACTTAGAGTTGAAGTTGAATTCTCAGCTTTTGCTTTACATGTTGAGACATCATCCACACTTGAATTTTTCAAATTTTCACTGAATAATTGTTATAATTATAATTATAGTTATAACTAAATTATAAATATTAGTGATTAATTACTAATTATTAAGATATTATTTTATTGTGTATTAGTTATTGTTGAATTTCATATTTATTTATTGGCATATATCTCTAATAGCATAATTACTAGCATTATTTATAATATAAATTTTATATTAAATAATATTTACCATGATTATGATAAAAAACAAAATTATTTTAAATATTGTAAAAAAAAATAAAACAAAAACCACTAAAAAATAAAATAACAATATTATATTAATAAGAAATGACCACAAGGTGAGAACATTGAAAACAGCCAAAGAGAATCACTATTTAATTAATGAAAAAATAAAACGCCATCTATCATGCATTTAGAATTGAAGTTTCAGAACATCAGTTATTTACGAATTAAAAGTGAATTTAACTTTTAACATAACAAGCACTAACCCTGATTCTGAAATCTCGGAGTTCATGTTTACGACGAATTTAACGATGAACAATTAAAGTTGTTTTAACAAAATTTCTCACTCTTCACAAGTAGCAAACTGTTAACTACAGGACGAAAATTTTCGAATGGTGATATTCATGAAAATCTCGCCAATTTATACAACTAAGGTGACGATAAAAAAGAGCAAATAAAATATCATTGTCCGATGTAGATTGTAAATTTTCAGGGATGTTCCTGTGACACAACGAACAGACATCACTGGTCTATTGAATCTATACTTTTTACACTATGAACAGTACAATTACTAAAATAAATGTTTAATTTTATAAATAGGCAAATTTAAAAAAAATACTCAAAAATTAGTCTCGAAAAGTCGACGAAACAACAGTTTAATGTTAATCAGGCAGGATGAAACCGATGAAACATACATAAAGTATCTTCATACTTGACAATCACTTTTCTTTCTTTGTTCTAATTTTTTTTAATTTGGTTTAATAAAAAATTTTGAATTATTATTTCAAACTTTAAATGATGGAGGAATCAAATAGTGCCAACAGTTTGCCATCTGGGGGTTCCGGCGAGACCAAACCAGATATTTCGCAGTTGAGCATAAATTCCATGGCCGGTCCGTTTGCCGGAATAATGGGAATGGCTTCCCCAAGTTCCAGGTATCTGGGATACGGACCCCCTAATCAAGCTCCCATGCCAGTCATGTATGACGGAAGTGGTTTCAGTGGGTTGGGAGGATTGCAGTCACCGTCACTCCATTCCCAGTCATCACTGTCACCGAATTCTCTTGTTAGTTCACCTCCGCCTAATTTTTTAAACATGCAGTCCCCACCTTCGTCAACGATGGGTGCTTCTCCAGGAATTTTATCATCTAGTAATAATGATAATCAGTTCATGACCTCGAAGCACCTTTGTGCCATCTGTGGTGATCGTGCTTCTGGAAAACATTATGGCGTCTACAGGTAATTTTATTTGTTTTTGTTTCATTCTGCTTCTTTAGTCTAGTCTAGTCTAGTTCCAGTGTTTCTATTATTTTTTTTCATCAATATTTCATTCAATAATTACAATCACTTAGTATTTTTATAAAAAAAAACAATTTCAATTTCATTTATTCTTGTGAAGTTGTGAGGGATGCAAAGGATTCTTCAAAAGAACAGTGCGTAAAGATCTTCAGTATGCATGTCGAGATGAGAAAAATTGCTTGATTGACAAGCGACAGAGAAACAGGTTGACAGTTTCAAATAATTTCAATTCACTGCATTCGTGTTGAATTGATCAAAATTTCCTTCCAACCCACCAGATGTCAGTACTGTCGCTACATGAAATGTCTATCTACTGGCATGAAAAGAGAAGGTAAAAACAAACTTAATCAACTAGAAAAATTTTGAAAATCATCAGAGATCAAAACACAAATCAACATTTCTCTAATTTTTACTCATTCCTCTCTTCAGCTGTACAAGAAGAAAGACAGCGAGCCCGAGAGAGAGGGCAAGCAGAAGCAGAAAGTACCACATGTGTCGGGAACGATATGCCTGCTGAAGCAATCCTGGATGCAGAGATGTCTCTGGAGCAGCAGTTGGAACTACCCGGCGACGACACCAGTCTTCCCTATGACTTCAGTCAGGCAGCCGATCGTATTGTCTATGCCATGGTTGACTGGGCTAAGAGGATGCCACACTTCACTGAGTTGAACCCTGATGACCAAGTTACATTACTTAAGACAGGTTTGTTGATGGTTGTGGCGGCCATTTGGTGATGATGATGGGGAGAGTATTGCCATTGTGAAAGTTAACGATGATGGTGATGACACCAATGAGGATAGCAGTTAACAAGGACCTCAGCAAATGAATAATAATTACTGATGATAATAATTTTGAACATGATGATTTATAAGATAATAGTTTTTATATTTCTATTAACCAGGTTGGAATGAGTTGATCATCTCAACCATAGCCCACCAATCAATATCATCATCAGCATCGTCGGCCTTGACCTTGGTGTCTGGCCTACGACTAACTCGAGAGTCGGCCTCCCAGGTAGGAATGACCAACATCTTCGATCGCATACTCGCTGAGATTGTCACCAAAATGAAGGACATGGGCATCGATAAGACTGAACTCGGCTGCATGAGGGCTATTGTCCTGTTCAATCCTGGTTGGTTGGTTGATTGCTTATTGGTTGGCTTATTTCTGATTGCTGATTGGTTGATAAGTTGATTGGATTGAGTGGTTTGTTTATTGGCTGTTTGACTTGATTAGGAAGTTAGCTGGTTGGTTGCTTGCTTGTTTCATTTTCCTCATCATCATTCTTCTTCATCTATTTCCTCATCTTCATCATCCTCTTCATCACAATCAAGATGCCAAAGGTTTGGTCTCGCCACAGCCAGTTGAATGTCTGAGGGAGAAGGTATACGCATCCCTGGAGGATTACTGCAGGCAACAGGCACCCGACGAACCGGGTCGATTTGCTAAGCTTCTTCTGAGGTGGGTGGGTGGGTTAGGGAGAATTAGTTAGGTTTCTGGCGGTTTTGTTTGTGTGTTTGAGTATGTGTGTCTGTGGTGTGATTATTTTTTGCGTTGTTTTGTTTGTAGTTGGAGGTGATGCTTCAAAGTGTAGACTGGATAGTTTGACCTTTACCTTTATTTGACCCTGACATTTACCTTCATTTGACCCTGACTTTTACTTTCATTAACAGGTTACCGGCTTTGAGGAGCATTGGATTGAAATGTGTGGAGCACTTGTTCTTCTTCAAGATGGCCGAAGAGAATGTAACGATGGAATCTTTCCTGGCCGACACGCTCGACAGCCCAAATAATTAACCCTGATTGGTCAATTGAGTGATTGATTAGGTCACTAATTGGCCGACTCTTAATTGTTGTTGTCAGTGTTGTTTTTATTATTTTTTTTCCATCTGTATTATTGTTTTTTATGATTTTTTCTTGTTATATTGTTAATTTTTTTTTTTTATTGTTGAAAGATAAGGAGGCTCCAGTTTTTTCACTTTATAATGGAATGATTAACTGGATGATTGATTGATAGATTCGTTCATTCGTTCATCATTTATTCATTCAGTAATTCGTTTCATTAATAACGGACTGATCCTTTTAACTTATATATCAATTTTTTTACAATTCATTTTGATTTTACGGTTTTATTATTTACTTATATTAACATCTTTCAAATGATTATCATCTAAATAATATTATATATATATATATATTTACAATATTCTATAAGTTATGGTCTATTACCAACACACACACACACACACACACATATATATATATATATATATATATATATATATATATAAGACGCCTGGTTTTCATTTTGCCCTATTCATATACGCTGTATGCTTACGTGTGTGTGATTGTGTGTGTGTGTGTGTTTGTCCACGATGATTCTGAGCAAGTTCAAGAGAGGAAATGACCTCTAACCTTTATTGTTATTGTTGTTGTTATTGATTATTTTCAAATTGAATCTTTTGTAATCTAAATATTTTATTAATTATATATTAATATGTGTGCGTGTGTGTGTGTGTGTGTGTATAGCGACAGTCTTTTTACATCAGATATAATTTGTTTTAAATAATCAATTTTTTGTATGAAAGAAAATTTTATTATTATTTTTTATTATTATTTCTGTTGTTTGTCGTTATATTGATGTTGTTGTTCCTCTGTAATTATACAATAACGATCGTGATTGGCATTTTTCAATTGTAATTATTATTATTATTGTTGTTATTGTTATTATGCATGCTATAATGTTATTAATATTAATTAACTATTCCAGCTGTTAATTAATTGTTTATGACATTTTATTACTAATTATGGAAATAATAGTTCAATAATGGTAACAGTTTAGTGACAATAAGAATAATGAAAAAATATATTGAAGAGAAAAATGTTAATTTGTATTTTATCTATAGCGTTGTTCCTGAGTAGAATGATGGATTGAATGATGACTATTTACAAGTGTGTGTGTGTGTGTGTGTGTGTGTGTGTGTGTGTGTGTGTGTGTGTGTGTGTGTGATGCCGACTATATCTGTGCTTTTGTATGTGTGTCACATGTGTGCGTGTTTTTGTATGCTTGTCACATGTGTGTGTGTTTTTGTATGTGTGTCACCTACGTGTGTTTTTGTATGTTTGTGTATCGTGTGTGTATATTTTTTACTTTGTATCAGAGAATATGTTAAGTATATGAGAATCATGTGTTTGCATGTGATGTGAGTATTTGTACGTGTGTGTTTGTATGATATGTGTTATATTATGTGTGTGATATTTGTTTGTATTTGCATGTGTGTGTGTGATGTTTGCATGGTTTTTTTCGAGTGTATGTGAGGTACCTTATTTAAATGTAAGGTGTGTGTGTATGGCTGTTTATGCACTTCTTCTTGTTATCGTATCTGTACGGACGCTAGTTTTTCTTGCTTGTCTGGTCAATTGATGGCGACCTTTTCAGGTTGAAATTGACGTAAAGGTTAAAGGTCAACCCTTGAACTGTCGCCTACGGCTGTCATGATGGAGTGAATTAAGGTGAGACTTGATTATTACAAAAAATATAATGTTTATTATAATTATTTAATTATAATATGAATATAATAATAATAGTAATAAGTTATAATGATGTTGGCAAGTCGAGAATCTTGACGAAAAATTTAACCAAGATTTCGGAGCTGGATGAAAAATATCCAACTCCAGCTGAAGACCCCAATTTCGGAACTGCATTTAACGGTTTTTATCAGCTAAAACTTGAATACAAATTATTGATGTTGCCACGAGTTGTGTAACTGTTTGTCTCGTTACAGAGAAAACGCCGATAATAATCAAATATTACTGTCAGTAAGTATTGCCATAATAAAATGTAATAATTATAATTATTTTTTACAACTCTATATCATTTTTCAGTGGAATCATCACCGGAATAGACACAGCGTGTGTGTACTGTATATAAATACATATGGATCAACGCGTTCACAATGCCTGTGATGTGCAGAAATCTTCTTGCAATCGAACCCGGGCAAGACGTATTATGAGAGATGTTTTTTTTGATTGTTAATGTCATCAGACCTTCATATTCGTGGAGGTAAAGATGGTTGATCAATTCGATCTGAAAGTCCATCCAGTATATCATCTCCGATCTCACAACGCTACCTCTGAGGGGCAAAAATATTTTTTGATTAATTGATTGGTTGATTGATTGATTAATTGATTGATTGATTGGTTGGTTGATTGATTGACTGATCGGTTGGTTGATTGATCGGTTGATTGATTGATTGATTAATTGATTGATTGAGTGATTGAGTGATTGAGTGAGTGAGTGATTGATTGATTGATTGATTGATTGATTGATTGATTGATTGATTGATTGATTGATTGATTGATTGATTGATTGATTGATTGATTGATTGATTGATTGATTGATTGATTGATTGATTGATTGGTTGGTTGGTTGGTTGGTTGATTGATTGATTAATCTATGTTATATAATTGAATATTGAGTTTATCAATAGTAATTTATTTATTTAACTTCATCAATTAACTGTATATACTCTTAATAAATCAATTATTTAATTAATTAAAGGAATGTTAGTTTATTAGTTAGTTGGTGAATCCACGTTAAAGTAATGAATATAACAATAAAATTTACTAGAAAAACAAGCAACTTTACAACGTTTGAAGATACAATACAATACCAAACAAATAAAAATTTAACAAAATTTTCATAAACAAATGAATAAAATAGAAAAAAAAATCCAGTAAAAATAAATGGATCAAAATTTGACGGCCAGACCTCAGAAAAAGCCTTCTGATCCTTTCGTTATCAGGGGCTTGCCAGAAAAAGTAGAGTTCTTCCTTGACTAGAGCGCTGTTGTGGGTGATGGTATCGTGGTCATGCTTGCAGTTCATGGTCTTTGCAACTTCGGGGACGTAGACAAATCTACCTCGGGTCCTACTTATCTCATCCATGACCTGGAACATGAAACCTCGGAATCGCTCGCCTGCCAATCTGACTGATGTATGGAAGTGAGGATTTGAGTATAAAAAATTACTTTATAACGCATTAATTAATATGTGAAAAATTACTTAGTTGTGGTTAGTTCTTGGTCGTATTGATCTTAGTAAATATATTTTTTAAAGTTAAAAGAAACCGTCATTTGATTTGTTAATTGGTTCAATCTTGTAGCGTTGATTTAGCGATAAGTATGACGGTCATCTCGTTGGAATAACGCCTATGCAATGCGACACTCTGGCGGCAGGCTTTCGTTTCGAAAGTTTTTGATGTGTAGATAAATATGTGTGCATATGTCTTGTTGTGTTTGGTTGGTGGCATATGTAGCCTTCTAAACGTTGAAAGTACTTATTAATTTGATATAAATGTTTAAAAAAAATTAAAAAATAATTTACATGTAACAAGATCACCGGGTCTGTATAAGATTCTGCCTGACTCGCTCAACACTGCACCGTTGATAACTTCGAGAATGTAGGGGTTTGGGGTGATGTTGGGGTCTTTGGCGGACGCCCCATAGTGTTCCGGTTCCAGAGTGTCACATGATTTATAAGAGGCCCCTACCCCGTATGCATTGGCGGCTGGAGACGTGAGGAGGAGAAAAGAGAGGAAAGAGATGATGATGTCTGTGAGGGGTATTTTTTCTCGTTTTGTTGTTTTTGTAATTGTTGTTGTTGCTGGTGATGTTGTTGTTGCTGCTGTTGCTGCCATTACTAGCTCCGATCTGTATGAGAATTTATATGATGAGATGTATTATTTGGTCGGTTGCTGGTTGCTGGTTGCAGTGTCAAGTTGCTGGTTGCAGTATCAAGTTGCTGTATTATCAAAATTAGTGTCTGTCAAACAAATTTAACAAATTTGCCTAAAAAGTTTTGAATAGAAAAATAAACTGGAATATTCTGGAAAAAATAAAAATGTCTTCAAATAATAATATACATTATAATGATAATGATAAAAATGATGAAAATGTGGGGTTTTTGATGCTGTTTGAACTGCTGTCACTGAAAAATGAGTTGATAATATCCAGCTATGGTATGTATTTATAAATAACTAATTAAAATTCCGAATCTAAATCCGACTCAATTGATGTAATTAAATTTGATTTTTCTCTTCGCTAATAGAGACTGCCGACAACGATGTCAATTAATTCAATTAATTATTTTATAATAATAATGATGACGACGTCAATTAATTTACTTAATTACCCTATAATTATGACGATGACTTCAATTAATTCACTTAATTATCTTATAATAATGATGATGACGATGACGTCAATTAATCTACCTAATCCCTTTATAATGATGATGACGACGACATAATGAAAACAACAACAACGACGACGATGATGATGACGTGGAAAGAGTAGGGCAGAAGAATAATACGATGTTGTTGTTGGTGTTGTTGTTGGTGTTGTTGTTGGTGTTGTTGTTGTCGTCGTTCAAGACAGCACAAACATATTACGACTCACATCATTCGCTACATTACACGTTAAATATACTTCCACATAATGGTAATAACGGTATTGGCTATTTTAAACTTTTTTTTCTATTTAATTAAACGAACAAAATTTAATTCTACACGAAAAGTAGCTACGTTACTCAAATTCTACTAGTGAGGTGTGTGTGTGTGTGTATGTGTATGTGTGTGTAGACAGGCATATAAGTAGGCAATTTAAACACCGATACACACATAAACACACACACACACAATAATGTGCAAGCATACACACGTCGTTACACAGTTGAGTGCACACACACATACCTACACACACACACAAACACATACATAAACATACATGCACCAAAACGTACATACACACATGTATTCGTTCTTGAACTTAATTATATAAATAACAATAAGAATAATAAGAAGAAAAATAGCAATAAATATAAACAACAAAATGTCTATATAACAATAAAAATAACTATATAACTTTATAAATATCTATATGAGATATATACATATGTATATACAAATACAGTAAGACAATATAAATAACAGCTATATTTACCAAGCTATGATAATACAAGTAACAACACAACAGACTACTACAAACTGCAGTAATATACCCAACGACCAAACAAGACAACAACACACAAACTGGTTGGTTTGAAGTAAATAGTTTTTCTTCTCATCATACTCTTCCCTACCTACCAACTTATACAAATAGAAAATGCACGCCATATAATTAGAATATATACGCTATATAAACATGCTATTTCGGCTGTATATGTGTGTGTGTGTTCGTGTGTAAGTATGTACGTGTAGGTGTGTGTGCGTGTATGTGTACGTACGTGTGTGTGTATAGCGTGTGTGTGGAATGATGTGTTGTGTGTATGTGCGCATGTGTGTGTGCATGTATGTGTACACGCATGTATGTGTACACGCATGTATGTGTGTGTGAGCGTACGAGTATACGAACTCGTGGAATAAGAGTAATTACTGCATTGTTTGGTTACTAACATTTATATCATCATTCCTGCAATTTTTTACTTTCATTAGAATTATTTTCAGATTTTAAAGCCATAAAAAATATTGATTTGATTGAAAAAAAACCCAAAATGGTTATATAGAATTGGTTTTAAATTAAAATCAAAAAGAATAATCATTTGAATTCGAATCTTCTTACCCACTACCTACTGCGCGTATCATGGATAACGGTAGAGATAGCAACAGATGAAGATACATTTGATGATAGTCGATGAGGATATAGTGATACATGATAGATAGTCAGATGATTAATTTGGGAGAATGAATACAAACAATTTTTTGACGAGTGTTGGTGCTATTTATGAATGCAAGAGGGTAGAATTTGACGATGTTACAGCAGCATTAGATCATATAATAAATCAATTTTATATAAAAAACAAATAAATGAACGGACAGATAAATAAATAAATGAATAGATGAATGATTGATTGATTGATTGATTGGATGAATGAATGAGTTGATGAATGAGTGGATGAATGAATGAATAAATGAATGAATGAACGAACGAACGAACGAACGAATGAACGAACGAACGAAAGAACGAACGAATCAACAATAAATATTTGTATATTTTTATTTCATTCGCCAGGTGAATATCTTAAAAAACCCAACTAATACAGGTAGGAGTCACGTGACACGGGGACACCTTTATAATTATACACAGGTGTGGTGTTTTGTTTTTGTTTAGTTCGATCGCTGATAGTTTTTTCACACAAACGATTAATTAAAATAAAAATAATTATAAATATAATTTAGTAATTAATTTTAGTTTTGTAAAATATTTAAATTTAAACATAATAGTAACTGCGAGATGAGGATAGTGAATTGCTTTGTTTCAACGATAAGACTTGATCGATTGTAACTTTATATAAGATTCACTGTTGCTTTCAAACTCTCAATGGGACGGTATAGAGCATAATTAATCGCATCAGCATATAACACAATCAAATAAAAAATATCTGGTAACATCTTATAGAAACATTCGACGCTAATTACAATGTAAAAAAAACTACATAGTAATGACAGAAATACAATTCAGTAGAAAAAGAGATGTAGTAGCATTAGTCATAGTGGAAATGATGCTGGAGTGAATAATTGATGGTTTATTTATTTATTACAATATTCGGATATATGGTGTAACACACTAAGTTTGAGGAACATTTTTCTCAATTTATTCAATTGTTTTTGCTACCAGCTGTTGAAGTTGTTGTTGTACTTCATGACCTGCACTAGCCAGCCCAAAAGTAACACTCTGACGTACATCGGTATCAATTTTATTTCACCACCATTTTCTTAATTGTCATTGCTGATCGATTTGTGGGTGTACAACCGCCATCCTAACCTCATAAGGTATCGCAAAAGGGAAAGAAACTATTGTGAACAACTAACTCTGATATTGATGTATATGATCTGACCACCCCTCCCAACTCAAAATGAACGGTTCCAATTCAACTAGACCTCCAACGATAACTCTGGAGAGGGCGGCCAGCATGGAGGCGCTCACCAGAGCTCGGTTTTTCGCATTCAATCAAAAGAGGACACTTCCACCTAGGTTGGTCCGGGAGTGTTTAAGTTTAAAAATTAGTTAAATATAAAATAAAGTGGAATCTAATGTTAAAAATTGAATAATATTTGTTCTTGAAAGTCGGATTTAAATTAAACAAATTTTCGCCAACTCACTCATTAGCGCGTTTATTGTATGTTTGTATTGGCCATTTACAAGATCCTGCGTCCTCTTTATTCATTTCAGCTATAATAACATATTTTAATGGTCTCATTAATTTGTAACATTATCTAACAACTGAAAATGCGTGAGTTAAAGAACTTTCTCCCAGACTATCAACAACTAACCAAACAACTAACCAAACAACAAACCAACCAACTAACCAAACAACTAACCAAACAACTAATCAAACAACTAACCAAACAACTTACCAAACAACAAACCAACCAACTAACAAACAACTAACAAACAACTAATCAGACAACTAACTAAACGACAAACACCAAACTCTTGCAGATTAAGCCCTGTTGGAATCCTGCTTCTAATCTTAACAGCTGGCGTCGTATTCATAGGGCTAACAATTACCATCGTAGCTAACTGGCCTGGCCTGGCTACGTTGGGAGAGAACAGACTGAAAATAGCGGGACCAGTCCTTCTAGCTATCGGCTTGGCAGGCTTCATCATAGCTGCAATTTATATGGCTGTGTGGAGTTCAAAACAAAATCGAGAATGGGAGAAAGATATGACAGAACGAGCGCAGAAATATCTGTACGCTGATTAATTTGTATTTTCCATAAATTTGATGTGTTTTGCTTATTTATAATTGAAAAAGCAAACTCTTTTTAAAAAAGTAATGCAATCATTTTATTCCGTCTTATGTCATTTCATCCAGTTCCTCTCAAAGCCAAGAACCTTTGGTAGACGACTTGAAGCCACAACACCAGCGACCTCAAGACTCCGATGCGAACAGGTGGTCATCTGACAGCTACAGGAACAACAACATTCCAGCTGCTGACTTTGGTCGTGGGCGACAGCCTGGCGAGCACAGAATGGTCATCAATGGAGTTCCGGTCAAAAGTGGAGACCAATCAGGTGGGAGGTTTAGTTTTTATTAGTCGCTATTTCCAGAGAGTTAAATTATTTAAAATTTTACAAAGACCATTGACAAACATCCCAACTGATACCAGGTATGCGGATCTCGAAACTTGACCAGGACAGCAGCTTCGACTCCCAAGTTCCTGACCCCGTACGAGTTCAGAAGAAACGACACAAAACAGACTTGAACGCTTCCGGGTCAACCAACCAGTCCTACTCGGCCGGGGAAGGGGACATGAACATTCCTGGTCTCTCCAGTCTCAGGGCCACAAACGGCGATCCCTACCAGAATTTCCAGGAACAGCTTAGACAACAGAGGAAAATAACGACGACGACAACAACTACGACAACGACACGAATAATAAGAAAAAAAGATGACGAAGACGGCTACAAACAGGGACAAATTGACCCTATAAGACGACCTCTAGAAAATACATCCTACGACCAGTCACGTGGTCTCAGGGTTCTCATAAAGGCCGGTCAGAACACGGCTGTCCATATCACCCCGTCATCCACGCCCCCAACCGGAAGTCATCCCGCGAGGATCTCCATGGACACAGCCATATAGGACGCACGATACGTATTCTATTATTTTCCGGCATATCCGCTCATTTATTTTAATACTTTAAATACTTTAACGAACAAAAAAGATTGTGCGTGTGTGTGTGTGTGTGTGCTGTATATATTGTGTATGCTGTGCGTGTGCATGTTTTGAAAGGTTGAGATATCTGTATGTTTATGGGTGGATGTGTTTTTATTTGTACATGTGTGTGTAGTGTCTGTGTGCGTGTACGTGTGTGTGTGTGTGTTGTGTGTAGACGCAATCGTGCCTATAATTAATGTAACAAATAATTTATACTCGATAAACGCAACGTAATTTTATTGAAGTGCAGTCCGTACGCTCAAGTTTGTCTCTGCTGTTACGTCAGAATACATACACATGTACAGTACACGTATTTCTTCTTCAATTCAACAAGTGTCAGTACAAACTTATCATGCACTCGAAGGTGTATTGGGAGTACTACATACCTGATACCTTGTGTACATGGTATTAGGGTACCTGACCAACAATACCCCATATCAACTAATTTCTTCTTTGTAGATCTGATCTGACTGCCACTGAACCGTTCACGAACTAACTTTTTGCTATTTGAAATCTCGTTATTCATTTGTTTCAGTTGTTTCTAGTTATTTATTACATTAACATAATTATTATACATCATCACTAAACTTAGCAAAAAACAATAACTGTGTTTTATCATTTTTTTTTTCATAAACACTAGTTTAACCGATCTTTCGTTTGAATAGAGCATTTATTTACGTTTTTAAACTATTTTATTTCATTGAAAATGGTCTTAAAGCCTATATATATATATATATATATATATATATATATATATATATATATATATATATACACGTGTGCGTATGTATGTATACACACACACACACACACACACACACACACACCAATCTAACAGCATAAGATATATGCGCATATTATATATCAATACATTTGCTAACGTTGATCCAGACACCACATCCCAGTCTTTTTTCAATTTTTCTATATTTCCATTTTGTTTCTTTGGTCATTGTTATTATCGTTGCAGTTGTGTTGTTTTTGTTGTTGGAACTTGTTTTATTAAGGCATGTAAAAAATGAGTTAAACAAATTCTTTCAAAATAGTTTCATTCTGAAAAAGTGTTTTTTAGCATCTTTTTCAAAATTTGTTTGCATACCCAGATATTTTAACTGCTTTCATTCATTATTTACATTTATTTTATTTATGTATTTTTATTTTACTATGGTTACATACGCATAGTGTGTTAGTTTATCCTCTAGTTTACCTATTTATATATGTGTGTGCGTGTGTGCGTATGCGTGTGCGTCTACGTAATGTTGTTTTCAAACATTGCAGCTGTAACGTTTGACAAATATTTTATTATTCTCCACTACTGAAAAGATTCGCTCTTTTATCCGATGTATCGTTATTAATGTTATTACATAAAATGAATATTATACCGATAAAATAATTGCTGTGAGTGAATGAGTAAGTGAAAAGCTAAGGATGAATGAACGAAACACGAATGAATGAATGAATGAAAGATTGAACAAATGAACGAACGAATGAATTATGAAAATACAATTAAACCAAAATTGTATGAATAGCAGATATATTAGATGCATATAAAAGAATAAAACCAGAAATTGAAATGAAACTTAAAATTAAAAAAAACTGTTTTTGTTTATTTAGTAAGAAAAAATATCCCAATTGAAATCTAACCGATCGTAAACATATGTACAGATATGTCCTACTTACGCTTCTGCTGAACGTCACACAAGCCACAATAATTAACCCACAATAATAATAATAAATAATAATAATTATAAATAATAATAATAATAAATAATAATAATAATGATGATAATAATGATAGCGCTATCAGAATTCATAGTTTTGGTTTATGTCCTAATCGTTTCTAACATCACCATCAGCATATGATATGATAACTAACTGACGGTCAATGTGACATGCCTCGTATCATTACAGCACGTGTGTGTGTGTGTGTGTGTGAGTGTGTGAAATTCAAGATCAACTTCATGTGCGTGCGTGCGTGTGTGTGTGTGTTTAAAATTCAAGATCGAATTCAAGTTGTCGTAATAATAATGAACTAGAGTAGCGAGCAGAAATTTCAACCTAAAAAACAAATGCCAGATGTAAAATTTTTATATATATATTATTATTATTATTATTGTATGTATGATACCAGATGTAAAATTTATATATATATATATATATATATATATATTATATGTATAACACTAGAATATGATGATTACTACTAATACTACTACTACTTTTACTACTGCTACTACCACTATGATATGATAACTAGCTGACAGTCAATATGATATATCTCGTATCATTACAGCAGCTTATGTGTGTGTGTGCTACTACTACTACTACTACTACTACTACTACTACTACTACTACTACTACTACTACTACTACTACTACTACTACTGCTACTACTACTACTGCTACGACTACTACAACTACTACTGCTTACTACTGCTACTTCAACGACTACTGCTGCTGCTGCTACTACTATTACTACAACTACTGCTACTTCTACAGCTACTACTATTCATAATTATAATAATGAAGTAATAATAATAATAAGAACAACAGTAATAATAATAAAATCACATTGAAGAGATTAATAATGATAC